AACCCCCCCCCCGGGGGGGGGGGGGGGGGAGGCACCGAAGGAGGGAGGTGAGGCAGGTGGGGCCATGAGGGGAGGTGGAGATTTAAGGGTCGGGAGTCCCGGGCTGGTATGCAGGCGCAGCCAGGCGGCAGTTGTGCCAGGGACGCGGCTTGGTTCCGGCCGCAGCTGCGCCCGCCTGCAGCCAGCCCGCGGGCCCCCCCGCATGCCATGCCGCCCTGCCCGCCAGCCTGCCCGCTCACCAATGGAGTTGTCGCCGGTGAAGCCAAAGGCGTAGAGCGCCATCTCCAGGCGCTGCATGAAGTCGTCGGCGCCCATGGCGCTGCCAAAGTGCGCCCGCACCTTGTTTGCGCGCCCTGCAGCCCAGGCGGCAAGCGGCGGGGTGGTGGATGCCTGGGGAGAGGCGGCAGCGCGGCCAAGACTGCCGCCCGGCAACAGCGCCGAGCTGCCAGCGGCAGGAGCGGTACAGCCCTGCGGTACGGGCATGCAGTACAGGTACCGCACCTGTGAGGTACACCAGCTCGGTGTTCGCGCTGACCTCCTCCCCCTGCGCCCCCTGCTGGGCGGCCGCCACCGTGCCGCCGCCCTCCTCGACATACACAATTAGCGGCGGCTGCGCGGCCCCCACAACCGCCACGTTGCCGCTGCTGTCGATCCGGAGGCAGTGGCCGTGCGCCTCTATCAGCGTCTCATCCCCCTCGGTGCGGATGTCCACTGCGGGGCGGGCAAGGGTGCAGGGATGGCAGGACAGTGACGCAGCGGCGGCGGCACAGCGGGAAACGGTCCAGGCTCCGCTGGGCATGGGGCAGCCAAAGGGTGCTCCTCCTCCTGCCAGATCTGAGACCCGTCATTCCCTGCAGCACACATACTGCACCGGAGGCCTCGCTCCCAGCTCATTCCAGCGCCTGCCGCGCACCGTTGGGGGCGGCGGCGTTGGTGGAAGCGCGGCGGCGGGAGGAGGTCGGAGCCGTGCCCCTGGCCCCTGCCTGCCGCTGCACGGGCTTGCGATCCCTTGCATGGCTCTGCTGCAGGAAGTCGGCGCGCGATGGCCGCCTGGTAGGGGCCTGGCCGCTCAAGCCGCATGGGAGGCACCCTGCTGCTGCAGAGCTCGCTAGCTGCATTTTAGAGTCAACCGCTGCCTGCCCTGCACTACCGAGAAAACCCACCGAAACCCTGCAGCGGAGATTTGATCGGAGGTTACGGAGTAGGAGGTTTTCAGGCAGGGCGGGCCAGCGGTAGGTACTGGTGCTGCACCTTCTTGGTACCAAAGGATTACAGCTGTTGCAGCTGCTATTCGACACCAAGAGTTCCACTCTATGCAAAAGAGCGAAGGTGGGAGCTCCTGCTGAAGGGTACAGCCCTTGACAGACAGTCAGCTGACGGCAGGAAGCGGGTTCCCCGTGCGCGGCAGGCAGCGGTAGTTCGCCAGAGCCCAAGCCGGCATGCTCTCTTGCCTCACGCAATGCCCATCATGCGCATGAGGTCATCAATCTCTTCCTCAGGAGCCGGCGGCCTGTCCAGAACCATGGGTGGGATGGCGGATCGGCTGGGTGGGTGTCGGGCGCTGCCCACGGGTGTTCGTCGTACCCCGGCTGCCAGTCGGGCTGCCAGCCAGGCACGGGGATGCCTGCCTTCTCAGGCTGCCCATAGTCGGCAGGCCACGAGCTGCTGGCGCTGTGCTCAAGCGACGCGGCCCCGTTAAGCCCTGCACCCGGGTGCTGCTGCCAGCCGGCAGCCGGGTCGCAACGTGCGCCAAGCCAGCCGCCGGCATCGCCGCCGATGCTGAATGGACTGCCCGCCATGCTGGCCGGGCCCAGTGCCGAGATGCTGAAAGGCGTGGCTGCGCCCGAAGCGTGCGACTCAGCATCCAGCTCAGCAAGCATGCGCTGGTAGGACCGCCGCTGCTGCTTCTGCTTCTTCTGCTGCTTCTGCGCCTGTTGCAGCTGCTCCATCTGCTCCTGGGCAAAGGTCTTTGCTCCGCCGCCGTCGCCAGACCCAAACGTAGCAGCAGCCCGGGTGCCCGGCGCAAGCAAGCTGGCGGCCGGCTGCCGCGGTACCGGCTGCCGCTGGGCCGCGGCATTGGAAGGGGGTTTCTTAGGCGCCAAGGCAGCTGACTGCTGCTTGCGCAGCTTTGGCACCAGGGTTGGCACCGGGGGAGAGGGTGCAGGCTTGCGTGCCGGCTTCTCCAGCTCAGCTTCCTCCATTATGCCGTCTGCAGAGCCCAGCAGAGGAATGGGGATCCAGGGTGAGCAAGTGTGGTGCCGCCGGCAGCAGCAGCGACTGCCAGGCCTGCCGAACATGCAGGCTGCGGCGGCCTGCACCCACCCACCTAGGCACACGGGGCAGCGCTGTGAGATCTTTTCGGCAATGCCCCCGCGGGCGAATAGAAGGTGAGGCCGCTGCTTGACCTTCACCTGCGGGCAGTGAGACTCAGATCACACGGCAATCCAAAGCAGCCAGCTGCGCATGTGCACGCTGGCGGTTGGGTGTCTGACTGACCCTGCAACCTGCACACCGCTGGTGCTCACCAAGAACTTGTTTCTTCCAAGGGTGTTTGTGAATGCTCCATTCCTGAATGCTTCGTTAGCCCGGCGCTCCAGAAGCTGAGTGGCGGCAAGAAGGGGGACGTCAGAAAGGCGCGCCGGGCTTGTGCTGTCCCCCCAGTGTTTAGCGCAGGTGCACCTCAACAACACAAGGGACGTGGAAGGGATGTTCGCCGCACTTGCTGCATGTGCCTGCAGTCGATGGGAGGCGCACGTTGGGGCAGTGTCGTGCGACGCCGGCGGCGGGTAGGGCGCGCCGCTCAGCTGCAGCCGCAGCGCCTCGTCACACCTGAAATGTGCTCAGCCTCAGCCTCTTTATCAACCAAGCGGCTGCATATGCCGCTAGCTTCGCGAGGGGCGGGAGTGGTTTGGCTGGCAGGGGACGACTGGTCGCTGCCAGCGGCTGCCCTGCCTCTGTCTCTGTCTCTGTCTCTGTCTCTGTCGCGGCCCATCCTGTCACCTATGGTCGCATGGCAGCAGCCGAGGTTTATCCCATTGCGGTGCTGACGGGGCGGCTGCCGCCAAGCCGCCTCATCAGCAATGGGCAGCAGGTAGGGGGCGGCTTTCTGTGGCTGTCTAGCGGTTATTAAAGTTGCCATATCGTGAATCCTCTTCACTTTAGCTACCCGTGTGGGTTCCTGGTGGCCCCAATGAGAACAGAAGTTCAGTTGCCCGGGCTGCTTTGCCATGTGCCCGTCGCTCACCAACTCCCGCCCAACAAAACAGCGGTGCAGCGTTCTCCTGCACCCCTTGATCAGTCCCTGGTGCTCCCCGTAGTGGCACAGACATCCCACAGACAGCCAGATGCCCCGCTCAGCATGGGGAGCGGCAGAACGTCGCCGTACCCATGCTGCGGCATGAACATGAACCGCCTGAAGGCGCCCCCGAGCACAGCCCATCCTCCCTGCGCTTTCATGGCCCTCAGGCACCGCATTTCATTGAAATGGGTGCTCTTGGCCCCTAGCGGACACAACGCTGCTGTCCACCAAACAGTGTTGCGCTGACCGGAGCCCTAACAACCCCCCGGTGATTCGGGCAGGGGGGCCGACGAACCGATTTTGGGCTTCGCTCTGGGGCGGCCAGCTGTTTTCGCTCTGGGGCGGCCAGCTGGCAGGACAGCCTTGTACTGTGTGTCTACTGCCTCAGCATTGCCCTAGAGGCGCTTGCAGGCCTCCAGGAGTGCTGAACACAAGCTGTTGCGACACTTGTGAGATCACTGCGAGTGCTGCCAGTGTTGCTGGCGGCCAAAATTGGGGTGCCTCAAGAGGTCTTGCCACGGCGCAGGTGGGTCCCTGGGGCCACCCCTAGCTATTTCCGCCTGTCCCAGCCCTCTGGAAACGTATTTTCATTTGTTTCCCACTCCCTCCGGTGATCTCAGGCGGGCGAAACACCGGAGCCCCAGCAACGCCGCAGGCTCCACCCCGCCAGGAGATCCACCCCAGGTGCTGCCCATGGCCTTCCAACACGTGTGTAGTCCGCGCAACGGCCGCAACTTGGGACCCTTGGTGCCAGCGGTGGTGACCGCCCCACCGCGGCAGGGGTGGCGCGCCGTCCCATTGGCCTGCACCGCTCCTCCACTCCCTGCAGGTTGTCCACAAGGGCTGAGGCAGGCCTGTCAACTCGGCCATGGCATTTCTGCCGCCAGTGGTATGCGCCGGCCGGGCGGCCGACTATGGCGGGCGCTGGACTCTCCTGCTCATCCTGGCCACCCTCACAGCCATGCTGCTGGGATTCAATTATGGTTACGATTTGGGAGTCACGGGCGGCGTGACGGGCATGAAGGTGCGCGCAACGCCGGGTGCAGCGGTGTTGGCTTTGGCGCAGGGTTGCCATGCTGCAAGGTTGTGGCATGCATGCACGCACAGTTCATGTGGCGTGTGCTGGCCAGCGCACCCAGGCCTGAAAGCCCTGTCCTCCCTCCCGCCCCGCAGCCCTTCCGTGCCTACTTCTTCCCCTCCTTTGAGGGCGGCGAGAAGGGCCTGTGGTGCCACTTCTCCGACCCCTACCTGCAGGTGTGGTGCGGTGCGGTGCTTCATGGTGTGTGGTGTGGTTTATGTTTGGTGTGTGTGTGCAGCAGGTGCGCCGCTGCTGCCGCATGCTCGCTGCCCGCCTGCCTGAACACCCCCCTCCCCCGCCCCTCCCCCCTGCAGCTCGTCACATCCACCGCCTACATTGCCTCTGTCCCCGCCACCTTTCTTGCCTTCTGGCTGCACGGCTGGTGCGCGGCCCTGCTGGTGCCGCTGCCCCCGCTCGCCGCTTGCCGGCAGGCCGCTGAGGCTCTTGCTTCGCTGCTGGCCGGCGCCCGGGCCTGCTGCAGGGGCAGCCGCGTGGTGGTGCTGTTCCTGGGCGGCGTGGCGTACACCATCGCTGCTGCGGTACAGTCCACCTCTCAGAACCTGGGCATGCTGTACACGGGGAGGGCCATCGTGGGCGTCGGCATGGCCTTTGGCAACCAGGCCGCCCCGGTGAGCCCAGTCCCGCCGGCTGGGGAGCGCCACCTGCTGCAGCTGGGCGGCGGCGCCGGTGGGAGGCTGGGGTGGCGCGTGCATCACCCACTCAGGAGGCTCCCGGCCAGCTGCGGCCACCGCGGCGGCGGCCACCCAACCCCCACCCTGCAGGTTTACATGAGCGAGATGGCGCTGCCCAAGTCCCGGGGGCTGCTCACCTCCTCCTACCAGTTTGCTGTCGTGATAGGTGCGCCCTACCGCCGCCTGCACCAACGCTACTTGAGGCCCAGGCATGCCGCCGGCACCAGTCACACTCAAGAGGGTCCTGCCGGGCGCTGACCCTCCTCCAGGCGTTCTGACTGCCCAGCTCATCAACTACGGCACGGGAAAGATGGCGGACAATGGGTGGCGCATCTCGCTGGCGGCGTTTGGGCTGCCCAGCCTGCTGGTCCTGATGTGGAGCCCGTTCCTTCCAGACACACCCGGATCGCTCCTCTCCCGCGGCAAACAGAAGGAGGCCAAGCGCACGCTCGAGGTGGGGAACAGCACCGGGCATCGCGTGCTGCAGGGCGCTGCCTGGCGCAGGCTCGCCGCTGCGCGGGCGATGCACATGCGCCCAATTGCGGCAACCTCCTGCCGCCCGCCTTCCCATCTGACATGCCACGCTTGCCCTGCCGTTCCGCCGCCTCCCCGCAGCGGCTGCGGGGCACCCAGGATGTGGAGCTGGAGTGGGAGGATATGGTTGATGAGATAGAGGGTGAGGAGGCGCAGCGGCGGCGCGCCATGCAGGCCCCCCACCTCTCCTCGCACAACAGGTTCCAGCGCAGCCAGCTGGCGGGCACAATCAAGTGGGCGTGGGGCTACTGCGCGCACCTCACCATCTGCTTCATGCTGGGTGCCTTCCGCACGCTGACGGGTGGGTGGGATGTGTGTGTGTGTGTGGTGTTTGGGGAGGTGCTTTGATGGCCGGCCGTCAGCATTGGGCTCACGCTTATTGCCTGCCCCTTTGAAGTTCATCGGCGGCAGCCGCTCTTCATGGCACTGCTGGTTTGTAGCAGCAGAGCAGCAACCGACTGCTGCCTGCATCGGCCCTCACGCAGGCAACCCCCTGCTGCTGTTTTACGCGCCGGAGCTCTTCCAGGTGCTGCTCCCCTGTGTTCCGGCCCTGAGCCTGCTTGCCTCTACAGCATGTCGTCCTCCTGCAGCTGCAGAAGGCTGCTTTGTATAGCTTGCGTGCAGACGCTGGGCACGAGCCAGGACTACTCTCTGCTGTCGGCAGTGACCCAGGGCGGGGCCAAAGTGTTTGGCAACGTGATGGCAATCATCCTTGTGGATCGAGTGGGGCGCAAGAAGCTGCAGCTCTTCGGTGGGTGCAAGTGCGGGGCAGCAGGGCGGGTGGTTGGCGCCGAGTCTGCTGGCGCGGGCGGCGCATCGCCTGCATACTGCCAGCTGGCTGCTGCTGAGCTGCCCCTGGCTTGCAGGCGGGGTCGGCCAGCTCGTGATGCAGATTGCGGCGACCCTGATCACCGCGGTGTGGTTTGGCAACGAGGAGATTGACGGTGAGCAGGCCCGCTGGCAAGCTGCTCTGCTTGCGGGCGCTTGCGGGTGGCCACCCTGCCACCCCCGCGGTCTCCTCCCTGACACCCCCTGCAGACAGCGACGCGTGGGCGCTCACAGTGGTGCTGTGCCTGTTCGAAGTGTTCTTCGAGATCAGCATCGCCACGCTGAGCTGGGTCATCGCCTGCGAGATCTGCCCGCTGGAGATCCGCTCCGTGGGCGCCGGCTTCCACTGCATGGGCGACCTGATGCTGCAAATCCTGTTCTCCCAGCTCAACCTCACCATGGTGCGTGGCGGGGAGGCCGCAGAGCGGGCTGGGAGAGTCCGGCGGACGATGCCGGCGGGCAGGCTGCTGCTGCACAGCTGCAGCATGTGGCCTTGTGGCTGCACAGCACATTTGGCGCTGGGGTGTGCGAGATAGCGGGGCATTCCCGGGGGCAGCGACGAGGCGCAAGGCCGACTCCTGACAGACGTTTTGACCTGCATTGCCACGCTTCTGATCCAGATGTGCTATATGGAGTACGGCGTATTCATCATGGTGAGCCGTTAGGCTACATCAGGATGGGGCTATGATTTACGACCTTTGTCTTATCAGTATATATATCTGCATGACAGGAGGTAGTGTTGCACCAGCCGACATGCTGCCTCCCAGCGGCCCTCCCACCCACCCGCCATGCGTGCAGGCTGCCGGCTTCTGCATCCTCTTCATCCTGTTCTCGCTCTTCCTCATCCCTGAGACCAAGGGGGTGCCGCTGGAGCAGGTGCAAGAGGTGCTGCGCACGCACTGGCTGTGGGGGCGCATGCAGCCCAACGGCGGCGCCCCAGGCAGCGGCCGCGCAGAGCCGACGGCATCTGGGGAGGTGGAATTAGGTGAGCCAGCCAAGGTGCGCTCCACTGGGCAGCCGGGAGAAGTGGAGGGCAGCGAGGCTAAGGCCTGACCCTGCCGCCTGCATACCCGCCTGCATACCCACACCCCTTGGCGGTGGATAACCCGCTCCATAACACTCCTATGATTTCTCAACTGCAATGTAAGTTATCTGAGTACCATCCGCTGCCTGTAAGTGTATGGCAAGGTGCACGCATACTCTCCGTCAGCCTGCACCAGAGGGCCTGGCCGAGATGCGCCGCGAGGGCGGGCCTTGCGCTGCGCCACGCTGCCCGTCTGGCGGGGGCATCTACCTCACCTCAGCAGCTGTTGCGTGCGTGCTCGTTTGCGGTTGCCATGGCACATCTGCTGGGCCTGTCCAGCGCGGCCTGTTCAACGAGGGCCGCTAAACCAACTCCGGTTTTCGGCAACGAACGTGCTGGCTTTGGGCAAACTTAATCCCCCGCTGCACAGCAACAACAGCGACAGCATGGATCCCGAGGCGAGCGGCGCCAGCGAGCTGTCGGCGTCTGGGCGTGGCGGCGTGGGGCGGCCAGTCACGCTGCGCGTGGAGTACGTGGCCAATCTGGAGGCTGCCCTGCTCAGCTGGGCGGTGTTTGGGCTGACCATCATCATGTTTGCCACCATTGTGGCAGCCTGCGTCATCAAGTGGATGGTGGCGGAAGACCCCGTGCTGTTCTACAGCAACGCATGGTGAGCTGCTTGCCCCGCCTGCGGCGTTGCCCGCAGCTGAGCGGCGGAGCGGGCGGCCAGGTGGCGGCTGCCCCGCACGTGCCAGGCCTGCAGCCCCCTACCCTCCAGTGCCGTGCAGGTACATTGCTCACCTGGGGGTGGCTGGGGTGGTGCTGGCGGCGCTGCTGGCCCTTGCCGCCTTGTTTGGCCGCAACCTCTGGCTCACCAAGCGCGACCACAGAGTCTGGTGGGGCCCACCTGATTTCCATGGTGTCTCCCACACACGCCAGCGCCACACACGCACCCCAGCCCTCCTCCCAACCCCTGTTCCAACCCGACGCGCGCAGGAACCAGCGGCGGCGGGCGCTGACACGCGATGCGGCAATCATGCTGGGAATCCAGGCGAGCGGCCGGGCCCCACGCCCCTGGATGCCGCCGCCGATGCCTGCTGGGCGGATGCGTGGTGGCATGCTGGGCTGAGGGCAGGCAGGCAGCTTCACAGAGAGCAGCCAGCGCCACGCCTGCTGCCCTGCCGGCAGGTGGTGTGCTCGGCGTCTTGGCTGGCTTCCTACGCCACGGTTGTCGGCGTGGAGTGCTACTGGTTTGGGGATGGCATTGCTTGGCTGGCGGCGCTGCGAATTACACTGATAAACTCGCAGTACTTGTGGATGCTGGTCATGGCGCATGGCATTACCCGCTACCGAGGAGGCGGGGAGGTGGAGGCAGACCTCCAGGCACGCCGGGCTTTCTTTTTTGCTTTTTGTTACGTTTCTGGCAAGCTTGTGAGGTGGCTGGCGGCATTGCCCGGCCCTGTGCATGTTTTACTGGCGGCATTGCCCGGCCCCCTGTGCAGCTGGTGATGGACGCACCGCTGAGCCAGCAGCTGCGCCTGCATCTGCCCAAGCTGCTGCTCTGGCTGCTGATGGAGGGATGCGTCGTGGTGAAGGTTCAAGACTGGTGAGGCCGGGGGCGCAGCAGGCTGGCCATTCACCGCTTGCCACTCACTCGCGGCTGTTGCACTGTGCCCAAGTGCAGGCTGAGCACCGCCAGGGATGCCCGCAACAGCAGCGAGCTGAGGTGCGACCAAGTGGACTATGAGTGCAACCCCGACAACCTGGGAGTCGCCACCGCTGCGCTGATGGTGAGCGAGGGGGCGGGGCTGCCAACCATGGGGTGCCCCGTGCACTCCTTGCCGCCAACATGAGGCCTGTGCCATCCCCGCAACCGCCAAATGGCCGTGCATGGCCAGGCGAAATGCATGTGGGGTGCTGCCCTTGCCCGTCGCCATTGCGGCCTCGAGCGACACGCGTGTCTGCCACGCCCGCTGCACCCTTGCTGCCGTGTGTGCCCGCAGCTGGTCTTCACAGTCTGCTACGCCCTCGCCTACCTGGCGTACCTGCGTCGCGCGTTTGGCGACCACTCCCAGCTGCCCTTCTGCCACTACCGCCTCTCCAACATGTACATCCGCATCATGGTACGGTACATGACATCCAATGCACGGCACTGCATGATTCCCGGCTGCCTGCGCCACGCCGCGTGCGCCAGGCGCCGGGCGCCCCGCCAGTGGTGGCACCTGCGCCCCTGGCAGGGCGCTGCCCCCCCCCATGCTGACCTGGCGCCCCGCCTCCCCTGCCCTGCCCTCCTCCCCTGCCCTGCAGTGCCGCCACGGCCCCACCTCCTTCTTCACCGTCATCATCTCTATGGTGCTGCTGCAGCTCATCCACTACAACTCGTGCTGGAGCTACGCTGACATGTCTATGGGGGCGCTCCCTATCCAGGCAAGCGGTGCAAGCCGTGCAAACCCGGGGAGGAGGCGCGGCGCACACGGAGCGGGAGCACCAGCGCAACGGTCGCGCCTGCGGGCCGGCCGGCAAGGTGCACATGGAGCTGGGCGCAGCCGGCGCTGTGAGCGGGCGCTGTGCGTGTCACTTGTGGCCCGCTGCCGCCGCCTCGTGCGCCTCCCCGCGCAGGTGGCCCTGGCCCTGCTGGTCAGTGTGCAGGCCATCCTGCTGATGCCCAAGCGCCCCGGCAGCAGAGACGTGCTGATGGTGAGGGGGCGGTGGCAGCATGCCTTGCTTGTGCCATCCCCTTGCCCTCCCCTGCGACAAATGCTGTCACATCGCCCAGGATGCGCCGCCCCCGCCTGCCACGACGCCACATTGGATGCAGGCCTGGCTCCAGGAGCTGAGCTGGACGCAGGCCGGCCTGGAGGCTGCCATAGAGCGGCGCGACTACCGCCTGCGCCGCGCCCAGTTTGCGCTCTCCACCGAACTCTTTGCCCGCTCGCGGCTGGTGCGACACGCGCAGCGCAGCGTGGGGCATCACCCTTTCCTAGCGGCGCTAGGGCTGGCCGAGCCCTCGAAGCACGCCGCCGATGGCGGGCCCGCCAGCAAGGGGGAGCAGCAGGAGGCGGAGGCGCACATTCCCGATCAGCGGGAGCAGCAGAGGCGGCCGCAGGAGCCCATGTTCTGCCTGGAGCGGGCGGTGCGGCTGTGGAGCTGGGCGCAGTATGCGTACCGCCATTGGGTGAGCTTGGTACTGCCTGCCTGCTGCCCAGCGTGCACGCCGCCGTGTCAGTTTGCGCAGGCGACATGTCACATGCCACCAGGATAGGATGGCCATGGTGGGCTGGGCCCATGGCCACGCCAGCCCCTCATCTGGCCTGCCTGCCCGCCCGCCCGCCTCCCTGCCCGCAGTGGGTCGACGGCGGCATGGATCGCGACTGGCTCATGGGCCTGTTCGGGTTCACAGACTTCGATGCCTACCGAGAGCCCAAGTTTGACACGCGCTCGGTGCTGGCCTGGAGGGACGGCTGCCTCCTGCTCTCCTTCCGCGGCACCGCCAGCAAGGCCAACGCCGTCACCGATATCAAGGTGGGCGGGGGGTAGCGGAGCCGGCCACGTGCGCAGCAGGTGCCCTCAGCTGCTGCCGCCTGCTTCTCAGCCCATGGCCTGCGCTCAACCATGACCATTGGGTCCAATGAGGGGATGCATCTCCATCTGCCATTCCACGGCCTCATCCTGCTGCATGTCGCGCAGGCGTGGATGGTCACGCTGCGGCCCAAGCGCCACCACCACGGCCTGCCAGTCAGGGTGCATGCAGGCGAGCCGGGCAGCAGGCGGCAGGCGGCACTGTACCGACAGCTACCTGTCGCTGGTTGGGGCTGCCCCTGTCTGCCACTGTGTGTGCGACCCACTTGCTTCTGGGTGCGGGTGCCTCCACCCACCCTGCTGCTGCCAACTGCCTGCCGCTGCTGCCGCCCCGCAGGCTTCTTCCAGGCGTACCAGGCCAACGAGGCGGTGAACCAGGTGCTGGGTAGGATTGCCGGCATAGTGGGCGGCTTCAGCCCCGGCGCCGGCCTCAGGGTGTATGTCACAGGTGGGAGGCGCCGCCATCACTCTAGTTGCTCTGGCAGATGGGGCTGCCATGGTTTGTCCATGGTTGTTCAGCTCTCTCGTTGGCCTCCCCGCACACGGCACGCCACACCACACACAGGCACACGCTCTGCCCACCACCCCCACCGCCCCTCTCTCACCGCGCTGCTCCGGTGTGTCTTCGGGCGTTGCAGGGCACAGCCTGGGAGGCGCGCTGGCGGTGCTTGCGGCGCAGGACCTGGCCCGAACCTACCCGCAGGCCGACATCACCTGCTGCACCTTTGGGGCGCCCAAGGTGGGGCTCGCTTGCGGCGGCCGCAGCGGAGGGTGGCAAAATGCCGCCCCCTGCCGCGGCCCTGGCAAGAGGCAGAGCCCCGCGGCGCTGGCGGCGCCCGCTCCTGCCCAGCATCCACGCGAGGCGGCGCCGCCGCCTCATGCCTGGCTAGCTGCCGGCATCCGGCTCAATGCGGGGGGTCCCCTCCACGCCTCTCCCTCCCTCTCCTGCTGCGCCTGCTGCTGCAGGTGGGCAACCGAGCGTTTGCCGGCGAGTTCCGCAAGCTGGTGCCAGACAGCTGGGCAGTGGTGAACGACCAAGACCCCGTGGCACGAGTGCCCGCCACCGGTGGGTGGGTGGGTGGCGGGGCGGCGGCGCCTGCTCTTGCTGCTGCGTTGCGTGGCAGTGCATCGCAGTCCACTGCCTCCAAGCACAAGCTGCTGCGCATGTGGCTCATGGGGAGTGCAGCAGGCACCCGGCCGAGGGGCCGCCTGGTGCTGCCTCTGACTGCCATGCGGCGCGTGCCCGCTGCGGCGCAGGCTTCCGCGCCTGCGGGCTGAGGGTGCTGATCAACGCGCGGGGCGACATCCTGGTCCGCCCCTCCTTCTTTGAGCGCTCCGTCATCAGCAGGTGGGCCGATGGAGGTGGTGGTGACTGATGCTTCGAGCCTCCCCACGCGCGTAGAAAGCTCTGCTTTAAGCTCTCCCACCTAGCAGCTGTGCTCCCTGTGAGGCCAGGCACCCTCCCTGCTATGCTGCCCTGCAGGTCTGGCGGCAACCCGGCTCACCACCGCATGAGCCGCTACGCGCTGTCCATCGCCCAAGTGATCAAGGCCCAGGCATGCCGCACGCCGCCGCCGCCGCTTCTGCCGCCGACTTGCCGGCAGCTGGCATCTTTGGGGCCGCGTGTTGTGGCCCCGCGGCTGGATTTTGATACGGCTCCGGCGCCGCCTGCGCCGCCTCCCGCCCCGCAGTTCAGCGCCAGCAAGGCGCTGCCTGGCGGCGCGGCGGGCGCCGAGGCGCTGGCGCAGACTCTGGACCTGGGCAAGACGCTGCTGCTGTCGCGCATGGACCTTGCCTCGCTGCGGGCCGCCGACCTGCAGCCAGAGTGGACCGGCGCGGCGGGGCTGAAGAGCCAGGCACGCGGCGCACGCAGCGGCCGCCTGCGCTGCCTGCGCTGCGTGTCGGCAGTCGCCGTGCATGCAGCCAGCCGGGGACTGGGAGCCGCCGAGCGTCACCCACGCCTCCGCTGCCTCTCACGCCCTGCCGCTGCTTGGGCTCCCCTTGCCGCCGCCGCTGCTGCCTGTGCAGCCTGCAGAGAAGCAGGGGTGCGGCTTCGCGTGGTGCGCCATCTGCGACGCGTGCGACGAGATTGGCGGCGGCGCAGCGGCTGTGAGTTTGGAGATGGAGGCAGAGGAGGGGCAGGCCATGACGGGCCGCCCCGCTGACTACGTGCTCGATGTGGCGCCCAGCAAGCGCCACCTGTCGGCCGGGGAGGAGGAGGAGGGGGGCGGCGGGGATCCACCAGCCGGGCACGCAGCGCAGCAGGCCGGCACCGCTGCTCCGCCGCCGACCCAGGCCATGTCGAAGGCCAGCTGACTGCAGCCGCCTGCATGCTGTTGAGCGGCACGGCGTTGAGCGCCGAACTTTCTGCACTTGAGTTTTCTCGTGTCCTGTACTCGGTTCAGTACCATTCCGTCCCTGACCATCACTGGCATCCCATCTCTACTCATCCAGAAGTGGCTATTTAAGCTTCATTGCTTCTGACCCATGGCACCAGCTGCACATGCCTGTTACTGTCTCGGCGCAGTTACAGTCATGGGCAACACTTGAGCTGCCGGTCAATCCCTGGCTGAGGACTGTGCAAGCGGCCGTCAATCGTGTCATGCATTCATGTCAGACAGTTCAAGCCAGCTGCCGATTGAAGATTGAAGGAAGACCGTTGTTCATGTGCTGTACAACGCCCGTACGAGGCGAGCTGCTGCTGCTCCGCTGCGCGCCCCACACCGACAGGCCCAGTCTGTGCCGCCCGCTGCATGCCCGCCAGCCGGCGAGGAGGCAGCTCAGGATGTGCGGCGCCGCCTGGCTGCGCCGCCGCTCTTGCCGGCCCGGCCGGGGGAGCCAGGGCTGGGTGGCGGCGGCGTGATGGTGCCCGCCCTGCGATCCACCACATACCCAGATTCCACTGCACACACAGTGGGCCGGGTTGGGTTGCTGTGAAAGGAGAGCCGGGCTGCGAGCATGTGCCGCTGCAAACCATGAGAGCAGGCTGGGACGCAGGGTGGCAGGCTACGGCGGAGCAAGATGTGCAGCTTGTGTTCGCCCGCCTCCTCTGCACAAACCCACCCAGGCGGTTGTAGGTTCCCTTGCCAATGCCGATGATGTGCCCGGTCTCCTCATTCAGAACCAGGCCTGCAGGGAGGGGAGCGAGGCGGCAGGCAGCGGTGGGGACACGCGGCCACACAGAGCCGGCACTCAGCAGAGCCTCGCATCTGGCGGTGAGCAGCTGTGCTTGCCTGCCCTGGCCGGCTCCCGGCCGCCTCACCTCTCTGGATGAGCGGGCTGACCTCCGGCTCCGGCTGCCAGCCCGCCGAAACCACTGGCGTGCGAGCCTGCCCTCCGCAGGACGCCACAGCCGCAGCGGCCGGCGCGGGCGCGCCCGCCGCCGCCACCTCGGCTGCCGCCTCCGCCGCCTCCTCCGCGCCGCCCAGCTGCTCCTGCACGCCGTGCCTGGCGCTGGCCAGCGCGGAGGCCAGGGAGCGGTGGCGGCGCACAAACTCCAGCCCCTTGGCACACAGCAGGGCGGCACACAGCGCCACCGAGGCCTCGCCCATGGAGGCGCTGCGGCGGGAGGCGGGGGCGGCAGTGAGCCAGGCGGGAAGGGCCGTTTGGGGCCCGTGGCAGCCCAGCGCAGCTCATTGGCACCGACCATATAGCCACATTTGTGTGTTATACACATCCCCTCACAAACCACCACCACCACCACCACCACCACACCCACCCTCACCTCAGGTACACCGAGGCCAGGCCCACCAGCTGCAGCGCCACCCGCAGCATGGTGTTGACCTTGTGGTTGGCTGTGTTGTTGTAGTAGTAGGTCAGGCCCAGCCCCGCCAGCCCAGACACGCCCAGGTAGGCCAGGGTGACCGGGTGGCGCAGCGCCTGCGGGCGGCGGCGCTGGGTATTGATGCGGTTGGATGCTGGGGGACATGAGGAGGAGGGGGGGTTGGGAAGGTGTGCAGAAACCAGGGAAGGCAGGCATGCAGGCGGGAGCAGCAGATGGGAGGATGCCGGTCACAAGAGGGTGGGGAGCAGGCGCAGCTGCACGCCGGCCTGGGTGGCTCGCCTGATGCAGGGAGGGCAGCCAGACGCCAAACAGCCAGCGCATGGCGGCCAGGAAGGTGCTGCCAAAGATGGCGGTGCCCGCCAGCAGCTTGCCCTTGTGGGGCACCTTCCTGCAGTGGCCCAAGGGGAGGGGGAGGGCAGCGGGTGGGCTGCCTCTTCCGTGAACCATGCCTGGTCCCACAGGGCGCACACGCCCACCCAACCCAGCGTGCAGCAGGGCTAGCCACCCAGCGCTTCGACCCAGTGTGCCAACCCCGAGGCCAAGCCCCAAGCCTGCCGGCCCGACCACCAGGCAGGACCACCTGTAGAGGATGAAGAGCACGATGATGCTGGAGAGAGCCATGACGCCCAGAGTGCCGCCCGTCAGCCTGCAGCCAGCCAGGCAGCCCATCCGGTCGTCCCCTGCTGGGACCGACGCTGCTGCTGCCACGCCCCGCAGCCCTGCAGCATGCTCATGGCGGCGGCAGCGACGGCAGGCGGCAGGCAGGCGGGACGCCAGCCACTGGACCGGAGGCGGAGCGGGGTGCCCACCTGAAGGGAGTTGACTCGCTGAGCACGCCGGCATTCCAGAACAGGAAGGCGCCCAGCACTGCGGCCAGCACGCGCGGCGTGGACAGCACCTCCTGCCGCTCCAGCAGGCACGAGCGGCTCTCGGTGCCGCCTGCACGCACAGGGGGCAGTGGCATGCCACATACTCGCAACATGCGTAGCGCCTTGATGCCCCACCCCTCCACCCGCCTCTCGACAGCTGGGCATTCATTCATGGCGGCGCGCCCGTTATCTGAATGCCTAGCCTCGCCTGCCCCGTCGCACCCGACAGCCAGGTCTTGGGCTTGGCCACGGCGACAAAGGTGGAGCCGTATGGGGAGATGGGTACGGTACAGTTGGGCGAGTCGTGCAGCAGGTGGGCTAGGCCGCACCAGGCGCGGTCGCCACGCGCATACGCTGCCTGCACGTCAGCCATGCTGGCACCCGTGAACACGATAAAGTCCTGGGTGAAGGAGCAGGGGAGGGAGGGAGGGAGGGGGGGAGGGATGGGGCGTTGCGAACGGGCGGCGGTGAGCAGGGCGGTAGGCGCCGGCCGACGTGGTGGCAGGTGGGGCTGCAGGGCCTCTGGCGGCGCCCGCCTGCCTTGCGCTGGAAAGGCACATTGCAAGGGCTGGAGCCAGCTGGCAGCCCCACATGCACCACATCTAGCAGCCGCCCCCCACCTTGTGGCTGGGGCATGAAACCTCCACGCGGCAGTTTGTGAACAGGTGCGGCAGGGCGGAGGCCCTGCTGGGGCCCCGAAACTCTTCCACCTGCACCACCGTGCCGTCATCCAGTCGCAGCACCTGTTGCAGCAGCGGGCGGAGGCATGGGCAGGCGGGGGACGGCAGGCAAGGGGCGAGGCGGGATGGGGAGGCGCAGGGAAGCCAACGCTGCAGGCAGCGGGTGCCACACTGCCCCGGACGTCCCTCTGCGGCTGCAGAGTGTGTGACGTCTGACAAACTGCCCCACACTCATGTGTCGAACATGGGCAGCAAGACGCGCCTCCAGCAAGCCCGGTCCTCCACCCGCCTGCTCCGTCGCCGCCAACGTGCTGCACGCCGCCGTCGCCGCCACCAGCAGCAACAGCGCGCCCAGCTGCCCACGCCGTGGCATCATGTGGCTATTCACGTCCTTGTGAGGCGGCGAGGGCTGCTGCCGCTCAGTCCGAGGCGGCCAGGGGCGGGAAGCGGCGATCAGGCGTGCAGCGGCGGTGAGGGAAGGGGCAGGGTCTGGCCCACAGCTGATCAATGCAGCTAGGGGTGCTACTGCGGACGATGGGAGGCCGGCGGCAGATGCCCGCTTTTGTAGCGCCCGCCAGCTCGGCTCTAGCTTGCTGGATCAGGCTTGCTCCCGCGGCGTTCCCCCGACTTTCGACACTCCTGGTTGCCACCATGGCTCTCGGAGCACTGCCGCAGCGGGCTGCAGTGAGCGCCAGACCCAACTGCGCTGGCCCCAAGCCCCTGCAGTCGCGGCAGCCCCGCCCAGCGCTGGCGGTCAGGCGCAGCCGGTGCTCGGTGGTGCCCAGGGCCTCGGAGTTTGACCTGAGCCATTACAGCGAGGCCACAATAGCCGAGTGCGTTTTGATGTCAACAGGCGATCCTGACCGGCTGCAACCGCCTGCCCGCGTTTCCTACCGCCCCTGAGGGTCCAGGAGGCTCAGGACCATGCAATGAGCTACCGACCAGGCCTGCCCGCTGCTCCTCCCGCTGGCCGTCACCGCCGCCGCTGGGCGCCGTGCTTTGCCCTCCCATGCAGGGTGCGTGCTACGGAGAAGTATGGCCACATTGTGCTGCTGCGGCTCAAGGACACGCAGTCGGTGCTGCCGGTGTACATCGGGGAGTTTGAGTGCGGAGCCCTCGTCAAGGAAATCAACAAGAAGCCCACGGTGCGGCGGCAGGGCTGGGGCCCCGGCGGGGCTGCTTGGGATTCCGCTGCTGGCAATGCTGCCCCAGCCTGGCCGCGGATCATGCCGCAGTTTAGGCCTACCGTTTGTTGAGCACGGCTCGCATGCCATGCCCGTGCCTCAGCTCCCTCCCTGGCTGGTCTCTGCCCGCCCAACCTCACCGCCTGTCCACCCGGCCCCTGTACCGCTGCCCTGCCTTGCAGCTGCGGCCGCTGACCCACGACCTCATGAAGAACACGCTGGAGGTGCTGGGGTTCCGGGTGACCAAAGTGCGCATCACGGCGCTGGTGGGCAACACGTACCACGCGCGCGTGCACTACGCGCGCGGCCGCGGGCCGGGCAAGGCGGAGGCGGGCGCGGCGATGCCGGCGGAGGTGGATGTGGATGCGCGGCCCTCGGGTGCGCGCTGGTGCTGCAGCGCGGGGAGGGGGCCGGGCAGGCTGCAGGCCGTGGCTTGTCCCGTGGTGGCTTGTCTGCTGCTGCGGTGGGCTGCTGCGCAGGCGGGCGTCTGTCCTTGCACCGCCACCGGCTACCAACCAGCTGGCGCTACTTGCTGGTCCAATCGGCGGTCAGGCTGCTGCCACACGCCTGCACTCATGCTGACAGCTGGTTGCCTGTTTCCCTGGCCTTGCTGCCCGCAGACGCGGTGAACCTGGCTGTGCGGTTTGGTGCCGCCATCTATGTGAACAAGGAGGTGCGCAGCCCCGCTGCCTGCCGTGTGGCTGCTGGGCAGGGCGCAATGCGCGAGCTGCGTGGCAGCCTTGCGACAAGGCATGCGGCAGTTGGTGCTCTCATTACACACGCACCCCTGCATCCCTGCTGCCTCCAGGTGGCTGCCAAGATGAGCCACCCGGTGCACATGTATGAGGCAGACCCACACGGCGGCGGCACCACCGAGCAGCACAGCGACGTCGTGCGCAGCTGCAGGTGCGGCTGGGCCTGCACGGCTGGCCTGGGCTGGTGGCGAGGCGCCCGCTCGGGGCATTGCGGCGCGCTGCTGCGCTGCTCGTGCTGCTTGCGCCTCCTTCCTGTCGGCCTGCCTCCCGCCTGGGCGGCCGCCGCAGCATGAGACTGCACTGCGACTTGGCACTATTCCTGCCTGCCTGTCCACCTCCCTGCCCATCCTCCTGCTTGCCTACACTCGTGCCTGCACTAATCCATACCCGCAAGCCTGCCCGCCCGGCGCGTGTGTGTGTGCAGGGAGGAGATCATGGCGTACAACGACCCCACCATCATGTACAAGCTGCAGATGCAGCTTGCCATCGCGGACGAGCGGTTTGAGGATGCCAAGTCGTGAGCGGCGGGGGGTGGGGCCGGGGGTGCGGCCGGCTGGCTAGGGCACCGCTGCCCTGCCGGCGGCCTGGGCATGCCGCAGCCTGTTGGCGGCCACGGTGCACATCGGGGGGCGGTGTGTGTGTTGATGTGGGGGTAAGGTGGCGGAGCTGGCTGGGGATCTATGGCGTGGCGGCATGGTGCCGACGGCTGCACGCCTCTCCCGGCGCGGCGCCTGCAGGCTGCGGGACCAGATCGACAAGATTCTGGCCAGCGATAGAGCGCTGAGGTGAATCGCCGGCGCCGCCACGCCCGCCACACCTGCGCCGCGCGCTGCTGTGGCAGGCGTCGCCGATGCGCGCGCGTCGCATGCTTGCGCCACCGGCCCTCGTGTGAGCGCCCGCTCTTGTCGCCCGTCTTATTACCCTGCCCTGCCTCCTGGCCCCCGCCCTGCCCCCTGCCCCCCTGCCCCGCCCCCCCGCTCCCTGCCGCAGCCTGGTGGTTGCCATGGAGACGGCAATGGAGGATGGGCGGTACGAGGAGGCGGCCCGGCTGCGGGACGAGTTCAAGGCGCTGCGCCAGGCGCAGCAACTGTCGTCGCGGGAGGTCAGCGACCTCTGACCCGCCCGCCTGGCGCCCGGCCTGGTGGCCCCCTGTGCCACCCACGAGCACCGCACTGCGACTTGGCGCTATCCCTGCCTGCCTGCGGGCCCCCTGTATTAACAGCAAAATTATCCCCGCTCGCCCCCGCTTTTCCCCCTGGGACTCTCCCTGACCCCCTTTTCACAGGCTGTACGATCTCCTCCCCCTGCATCTCTAGTGTTATTGCGGGCTGGGGGGCGACTGCCACGCGCCGCCCCCTGCCCCGGTTTTGGCTCCCCACTGCTCCCGCACCCCCCATGTTTAGTACAGCGACAATGCAAGGGCGCCCCCTGGCCCCTCCCTTTTGCTCGCCCTCCCCTTTTGTTGTTCGATTAGGCTAGCTAACGGGCCCAGCGCCCTCCCCCCCGTTTTCCCTGGCTGGGGCTGTCTCTCTCAACTGTACACGTCGGCAGGCTGGGGCCCCGAGCTGCTCGCCCCCCTCCACCCCCTGCATTTCATGCAAGTGGCCATCTGTACTCAATCTCCCTCTGCCTGTAACACCATCAGCACCACAACACCGGAGGATTCATCAATCGTGATCAGGAGCAAAGCGCCGACAACGGCACATGCTGTGGCTGTGCTGCGCTGGCGGCATGACTACACAAAATGCCTACAAGAGGCCGCCTGCGCCGCCAAGGCAGGATTTGCGCTGGTATTGACTTGCCGAGGCATTCCGGTGGCAGGTGCGGCGCCTCATTCCCACGCACCTCGCGGGTGAAGGAGAGCAGCCCACCTGCTTCCCTTGCGCAGCCAACAGTGTCGGGTGGGCAGTAAGGTGTCGTAGCCGAGCCCATCAGCCCGCATCTGCCCTGCAGGTGGTTTTGCCGTGTCGGAGATTGCTCGCGGGTCCAGGTTTGTCGCCTTCAGGACGTTCGGCAAAAGTACCCATGAGCCGCACCACATGGACGCTGTCGGCGGCGTGCCCGGGCCTAGCCGCCGCCGCCGCTCCCGCCGCCGCCAGTCGCGATGAGCGAGTCTCACCCTGCTGCCTCCTCCCCCTCCCCCTCCTTCCGCCGTGCAGGCACCCGCTCCAGACGCTGTGCAGCCAAGCCCGGCAGCCATGCAGGCCCAGACGGTTGGCGGCGTGACGATCCGCGCCCCGCTGCCACCAGAGTACCGCTCCATCCTCACCCCCGAGGCCCTCCAGTTTGTGGCGCACCTGTCCCGGTAGGCGCCCCTGCAGCCACCTGCCAGCATGCAAGTGCAGCAAGTGCCCTCCCGCTCCAGCACAGCGAGCTGCCGGCGCTCGGCGGCAGGCAGGCTGCGCCGGGTCCTGCCGCGCGCGGCCCCGCACGCCCGCTCAACCTCCCGCCGGCCACGCCTGGCGGCCCGCAACTGCAGGTGCTACGCGCCGCGCGTGGGGGAGCTGCTGGAGCGGCGCAAGCAGGTACAGGCGCGGTACGACGCGGGAGCCAAGCCAGACTTCCTGCCGGAGACGCGCCATGTGAGCGCCTCCCCTGCGGCTGCCGCAGCACATGCTGCATGATGCCATGATGCCCGTGCCCGAGGCTGCGGAGGCTGCCTTCGGTCGCGCCGCGCCGCGCTGCGCCGCGCCGCCTCCTGCCTGGCCTGCCGGCGTCTCCGCCCACCCTGCCTGCGGCCCCCGGGGCCGCCCCTCAGGTGCGCGAAAGCGACTGGAAGGTGGGGCCCCTGCCTGTGGACCTGCTGGACCGGCGGGTGGAGATCACGGGCCCCACCGACCGCAAGATGGTCATCAACGCGCTCAACAGGTGCCGCGCCTCGCCCAAACAAAGCCTGGCGGCGGCGCCCGCGGTGCTGGTGGGGTGGAGGCGCCTGGCGGGCCTGCCTCTCGCTGACCTTTGTGGCTGGGCCTCTGTTGATCTGGCCCGGCCCCCGCTTCTGCGCCCTCACGCTCGCCCTGCCCCTGCCCGTGCGCTTCCTGCCCCGCCCTTCCTCCTGCAGCGGCGCCAACGTCTACATGCCCGA